AGGATCACTCCAAACCATGCGGGCTGCAACAATAGCACCTTATCCATCCAAAGCTCCCATGAATGCAGCCTGACAAAATATCAAAGAAAAGGACATAATGAATGATTCCAAAGAAAACTATATCAGAGAATGGAGACATGATATAGCAAACTCCCAGAAACTCACTATTTACCATTCATTACAGAGGGAATACAAACTGCCCCCATACCTGGAGGTACTACAAGATCCCAAGGACAGACAAATCCTGACCCGATACAGACTGAGCGCCCACAGTCTGGAAATTGAATCAGGGCAGCATAGACAGACCTACAAGCCCAGGGAGAGTAGACTGTGCCCCAAGTACTCAGCACTAAGGGACACTCACTTCCAGAGACTCTCCGCTCTCATCCCGGACTTCACCTCTATAGAAGAAACTCTACATTGTACTGGGAGAAGAGGAGCCAACTGAGAAAATATCTGCACAATACTTCACAGAACTTCACTGACTGAGAGGAACATGAGAGATCCTGGACCTATATCCCCAACATGGACTCACCCCCATCCCCCTTCATATTATCCCTTACCCCTGATCATGCCCCTGGACTTGCCTATTCCCCCCATATCATCCTTTACCCCTAACAATGTTCCACTACCCACCCCCACCCCCCCTATGCTTTGCCAATGTTAAAATGTATATGGTCCTGCCAATAAAGCCTATTTGTATAGAGAGAGGGGGGGAAGAGAAAGAGAGAGGGAAAGAGAGAGAAAGAGAGAGAAAGATATGGGATATGTGTCAGCAGCACGCTAGGAAAACTGTTCAATAGCATTCTGAACAAAAGAATCCTCAGCTTCCTGACACAGCATAATGTCCTCAGCAGAAGCCAAGCTGGGTTCATGCCAAACCATCGCACTACAGATCACATATACACCCTGCACAGTCTCATCAAGAACCATGTCCACCATACAAAACATGGGAAAATATTTGCCTGCTTTGTGGACTTTAAGAAGGCCTTTGACTCAGTGTGGCACCCAGGCCTGTTCCTCAAACTACTGGAGAGTGGAATAGGAGGGAAAACCTATGACGTCATCAAGAGCTCATATAATGAGAACTTCTGCAGCATAAAGGTGAATGGGAAGAGAACAGAGTACTTCCGGCAGGCTCGTGGAGTTATACAAGGCTGCAGCTTAAGTCCAACCCTCTTTAACATCTACATCAATGGACTGGCTGAAGCTCTAGAATCCTCCTCCGCACCAGGACTAGCTCTACATGACACCTAGGTGAAGTTCCTGTTGTATGCAGATGACCTCCTATTACTGTCACCAACAGAGAGAGGTCTACAAGACAGCCTGGAAGTGCTGGCAAAATACAGTGCGGCATGGGCACTACCCATCAACCAAAAGAAAACAAAGGTCATGATTTTCCAAAGGAAGAACACAAAAACCAAGAGTTCTTCTTTCACACTTAATGACTGCACTCATGATGAAGCCAACAGCTACACATACCTCAGCCTAGAAACAAATCAATCGGGAAGCTTCAAACCAGCCATAGAGGCCTTAAGAGACAAGGCATGTAGAACCTTCTATGCCATCAGGAGAAAACTCTACAAAAACTGGGATCACCTAAACATCAGCAGCCCCAACTCATACCACTATAAAGCCCTACTGGCCAACAAGGACCACCCCAAACCATGTGGGCTGCAACAACTCGTATCCACCTTGTTCATCCAAAGCTCCCATGAATGCAACCTGACCAAATATCAAATAAAAAGGACATAATTAATGATTCCAGGGAAAACTATATCAGAGAATGGAGACATGATATAGCAAATTTCCAGAAACTCATAATTTACCAATCATTACAGAGGGAATACAAACTGGCCCCATACCTGGAGGTACTACGAGATCCCAAGGACAGACAAATCCTGAGCTGGTACAGACTGATTACCTATATCACCGGGCTTACTTCTATGCTTTGATGTACCCCAATAAGTTCCCTTCAATTAAGTATTTGCTCGAGCAACATTTGTGGTGTCCCCTGAAAGAACTAACCAAGATATAGGTTCAGTTCCTAATGACTTTACTTCTAATCGGTGAAATTAAATCTAAAAGACGTCCTTAGTAAGAAGAAAAACATTAGAGAAAGTTCAATCAAGTATCCGCTACATAGTTTCCAGCACAAATCACTTTAGTCCCAGCGCTGCTTTCTCTAGAATTGAGAACCACCTGACAATACAATAATACAGATCAGCAAGCTCCTCAAAGGTTTTGAATGTTGTTTTGCACGAATGGATTATTGCAATAAGGTGTGGGGTTAGTAGATAGCAACTGTGCAGTCAGTTAATGTGTTAGATTTAAGTCTACTGTGTATATTTAATAAATTTACTATTTTTTCATATTACTATTGAACTCTCCGACTCCCCCTTATTTAACTGCACTCTGTTCAAGAGCCTCCCTTGGCTGAACAAATTCTCTGTGTACTGTAATAGCAGCAGGGGGGTGATCGTTTTTGAGAGTTACTAAGCTGAGTTAAATAACTCAATATTATCTTGGGGTGAGGATCTCTAGGTACATCTCTCTTCTTTCTCTACAGACTGAGCGCCCACAGCCTGGAAATAGAATCAGGGCGGCATAGACAGACCTACAAGCCCAGGGAGAGTAGACTGTGCCAGTGTTGTGACCAGGGGGCCCTGGAAGATAAAGTACACTTCCTCCTACAGTGCCCCAAGTACTCAGCACTAACGGACACTCACTTCCAGAGACTGTCCGCTCTCATCCCGGACTTCACCTCTATAGAAGAAACTCTACATTGTACTGGGAGAAGAGGAGCCAACTGAGAAAATATCTACACAATACGTCACAGAGTGTCACAGACTGAGAGGAACATGAGAGATCCTGGACTTATAAATCCCCAACATGGACTCACCTCCATCCCCCTTCATATTATCCCTTACCCCTGATAATGTCAATGGACTTACCTATTCCCCCCATACCATTCTTTACCCCTAATAATGTCCCACTACCACTCCCCCCCCCATCCCATATAACCTCCCCATATGCTTTTGCAATGCTAAAATGTAAAAGAGAGAGATAATTAAAATCAGCACCACTGTGTGTAATGCAGGTGTGATCTACATGCAAAGTAACTAGAGAGTGATTTCTAAATAAGGGAATGTCCTGAAAGTCTTGAACAATCTCATTCTATTGTCATCAGGAGAAAAATAATAAGACAGAAGACCGTGTGTGATTGCTATTGTTTGACCAAGCACCGGGACTTTTTTCCTGCTGCAAAGCTACTTTCCCCACTCCTTTGCTTGACATTAAATAGTATCTACATTTAAACACAAAAATCCTTTCATGTGATGGTTGTATTCATTTTTTTCAGGCCTTTACTTTCCCCTGGTATTCCTGCAAATAACACTTCCTGTCCATTCATGCCTTTGTTAATCTCTATTACAAGGTGGATGGATTGGATTAGTGGTTTACAGAAGAAAGATACAGATGTTTTTGCTTTCTTTCCAGGTCAACAGAAATTACAATGACACTGCATTTCTGGCAAGATCATCAGGTATTTTCTGTACTTGCTAAAAAATAATGCTTTAATGGTCATGTAAGCTGAGTATTCCATTTAGAGTCAGTGTGTGGGATCAGACATACAAGACAGAACAAATAATGCATGCATGTTTAACCTAGCCTTACTTCCTATTTGTGTCCTTCTTAGTCTACATTACCCTAGAGATGGCATTATTTTTCTAAGCCTGTAATTATCTTTTATAGCTGTTACAGCCTGTTCTGTAACACAACCAAATTGTGTAAAGCTGGCCACACAGTTATATGTTTATAACAGCCTGTGGGCAAAACAAAAAATAAATAAAAAAATGTTCCTCCATTCAAGCTAAACACCGTGGATGGACGAATCTCCCGCCATGTCATTTGTATTCCGATAGCAAGTGTGCCCCTGTCAGAATACCCAAACAGTGACAGCAGCTGGGTACTGTCACTGTTTGATCAAATATTTTCCATCCAGCTCCTTCGATTTTCTGATGGAAGGGCAACGACAGGGGCACCCACTGTGTGAATTTCGTCCAGTTCTTTAAGAAAACAGCCAAAATTTGCAGTGTATTGGCAGCTTACAAATGATCACAAAGCTCCCCCAATGGGTGGCTGAGCATAATATATATGAAACACATACTATGAAAAAATTAAAAGGTCATTTGTGACACACTCACAATTAATTTAAAGTGAACTTGTCCCAATTCACAAAGATGGAATCATAGTGGTACCTTCATAAATTACTCCACCAACTGTTTCAAGCTCACTTCTCCATTGCCCAAAATGTACAGCCTAAGAGGACTTAACAGTGCTGTTACTAAACGCTCAGTCAAAAGTCCCCAGTCAAGTCCTAATCTCTATCCACCCTTCCTGGCTGGTAATATAAGCAGACAGCAGTGACATGCAACTGTCACAGGTAAGGCTGAGGTATCTAATTTGAAGACCTTTACAGATAGCCTGTCTTTACCTTCTTTAGTCTGTGTGAGAGGCTAACCTTACTGGAGCAGGGTTTTTCTTCAGTGTTTATTCATAGGTGAGCTGTTTATAATCTGAAGAGTTCTCAACTGGCAGAGGTTTAATCATTTAAAAAGGAAAGGATAGCTTTAAGTATTACAATAAGCCATACATTACATTATTAAAAATAAGCCAGTGAAAACAAATATGGGCTACTTTTAATATAATAATTTACATTAGCTTGAGCTGTGAATCTGTTCATTTTTAGAACTGAAATTGAAAAGTTCTGCCTTTGGACTTTCCTAACTTCTGGGCTAAGGTCTTCCAAACTAGTAACATCCCCACTATCCAACGAAAGTGCATAATTGTCCATTAGCTTTTAGTTTTGAAAATGTAAAGTGATGACAGGTTCATGTAAGGCAAACACTAGCTGGATCAGCAAGGGGAAATCCACCTAGTCATCATGTGGTTTAAGACAAAACACAGCATCAATGAGCAGGATTGGCAAAGTGAGATACCTGTGTGCTGGTCTTGGCAGTGGAGTGACTTCTGGTGTTGGCTGTGGAGTGACTTCTGGTGTTGGCTGTGGAGTGACTGCGGCACGGGCCCTTTCCTGGGCAGCTGCAGATTTTGATACAGGGGCTTGGACCTGCATACAAGTATACAAGTTAAAAAAAGAATTATATGAAAGGAATTTATGCTATGTATTGCACAAAATGGGTGGTTTTGGAGATCTATCCCTATATGCATCTCATGACCTAATAGTTTTTTTATTTTCACCACAGAGCAAAAGCAGTATAAAAAAGTAGGCATACATAATTCAGCCATCCAAAAACCATTCATATCTTATTCTTGTAAAGCACCAACACATATCCCATACGTATTTATTATATGTATATTTCATTTTGTGTAATCATATACATCTATGTCTATTTCATTTTGTGTAATCATGGTTAAATAAACACATAATAGTTTTCTTCAGAGCTGATTTATAATACATTGCATACATTTATGGAACTATAACCACTTAAATAATTTGAAGACGTTTCTGCTCTGATGATAATTTTAATTTTCAAGTTATGTGTTAAGGAATTATGACAAAAGGGTGTTGCATACCGTTTGCTGGCTGCTGGATGTCTGTGTGGCACTTGAATTTACAGACTGGTCACTTAGACCTGCAGTGGACTGGGCATCACTTTTTGTAGAAGTGCTGGGTTTGACATCTTCAGCAGCATCAGTGTTTGATTGAGTTTCAAAGATGACCACTGTAGGCATTGATGGTGACCCAGAATCTTTTGGAGGCTCAGATACAGTGGAAGGAGGACAATGAACTTCGAGAGCATCTGAAGTGGATGGAGAGAGTTGCTGATGTACATCTGCAGTATCAGAAACTGCAGAATGGGCTGTCTGATTAACAGGAACAGAGTTTGAATGCTTGAAAGTATTTAGTGAATCTGATACTGCAGATCCGATTTGTTCAGTGAACGGTCTAGAGGGTTCAGCATCCGTCTCCTCTTCAGATGATGTACTACCCTTAGGACTGATTGCCAAGAGATCGTCAATGTCACCATCAAAAGACAGCTCAGGGTCATCGTTCCATTCCACTAGAACATCCACAGTATACAGAGAGCAGTCACTAGCAAGCTCATGAATAAGTGCTTCAGTTTTATCAAGTATAGGCACTCCTGAAGTAGACATTCCATTTGTTTCTTGCACAGAATCAGAAGACTTTACATTGCCAACAATGTTGCTTTTCTGTTTTGGCACCTGAACCTCTACAGAATGTATGATTGAATGACTGGGTGATGGAGCCATTGTGGCATAGTTATTCAGGTCTTCCACACACAGTGTTTCTTCGGTCAAAGTAACAGAACCATCCAATTGACTATAAGGTGAAGTACACAATTTTTCCTTTTCATCTTCTGATTCTGGAGTAACAATACCTGTAGAACTGCAATCATCCAATCCAAAAGGCTCAGCTGCAAAGGGAGAGTCATCTTCAAGTAAGGAATCAATCTCATCCACTGTCAGATAAAGCGGAGTGTCATCTTCATTATCAGAAGGTTCCAGCAATGAATCATCCCACTCTTGATTTTGTTCCAGTGCGTGAGATGGGCTATTTACATGGCTCCAATTGACACCTTTAGATTTGGAGGTAGAAGGGGTAGATTTAGAATGTGGTGTGCTACAACTAAAATCACCGCAGAATCTCTTAGAGCAAGGAGTTTCTGCCGTATTTTGTTCTTGCTGGCGCTTCTGATTTGTTGCTCGATCATTGACAATACTGATCTTTATATCTTCCATTGTTTCAGCAATAGGGTTGTCCATAGCTGCTGGGTATAGCATAACTTGCCGCTCAGAGTAAGCTGTAGATGAATCACTGCTTTCATTGGTAACTTTTATGGGCATCTCTGCACCTGAAATTCTACAAAAGTAATTGAATTATTAGCACTGCTCCACAATGCTCACAGCTAAATAATGATTTATTTTCCTCTAAATAACCATTGGAACAAAAATACCTATATAGGACAGTGTTAACTGAACTCTGGGAAATAATATAATAAACAGCTTTATCTTTTCGAAGTGCCACAAGTAATCATGCTATAATTTAGCATAAACGTTGCAGGCTCCAGTACATGTGGCACCTATACAAAATGGCACTCTTAATTATTTTTTTTTTCCTGTTTATACTGCCACTTGAATCTCCATGATTATCTTACATATCCTCTTGGGTCTCTGATGTAGAAATGAAATGCAGTATTAGGACACAGCAGGCAGCAGTGTAGAAACCTAGCATCTAATCCAGACTGCTGACTTCCAAACTTACCTTCAAAGCTCGGACATTCCTGGCCTCTCACTTTAGTGCCTGGCAGTTGCCACTCTCACTTTAGTGCCTGGCAGTTGCCACTCTCACTTTAGTGCCTGGCAGTTGCCACTCTCACTTTAGTGCCTGGCAGTTGCCACTCTCACTTTAGTGCCTGGCAGTTGCCACTCTCACTTTAGTGCCTGGCAGTTGCCACTCTCGCTTTAGTGCCTGGCAGTTGCCACTCTCTCCTTAGTGCCTGGCAGTTGCCACTCTCACTTCAGTGCCTGGCAGTTGCCACTCTCACTTCAGTGCCTGGCAGTTGCCACTCTCACTTCAGTGCCTGGCAGTTGAGAAAGTATTTTAACACAGACAATATTCTTACTCTAACAAATACTTATGCTGCAAAACAAAAAACTGTCCTATTGTGTAGGCTCCATTCAGGTTTCCTTTTAGTTCTTAAAAGTGCAAATCCACGTTTGCTAAATAAATAATATACTTAACCACTTGCCGTCCGCCCGTTGTAAAAAAAACGGACGGACGGCACTGCTGCATTGGACATGAGCCATTTCGGGATTTTATATTATTAAATTGAGCCTTAAATGGCCTAAAACATTTCTCAGGTCACAATACTGCTTAAGTGTAGGCACAGGCTATACATTTATCATTTTTAACAATCTATGTTTGTATCCATATTAAGCCCCTCAGACCATACAAGGAGCTCTTAGGTTTGCCCATGTTGAGGGCAAAATGGATCTAAAGCCAAAACTTTTCTTTACATTTTGTTCCAGTATAGGGGGTTTAAAATCTCTCATATTTTTATTATGGTTCAGGGGTGTGGAATAGAGCTGCAGCTAACGATTATTTTCAAAATCGGTTAGCCGATTATTAAGTTTGATTCAAAATAAAATAAATTTTAAAAAATGGCTCCAGTGATGGACTACTAGTTTGTATTGAGTGTAGTCCATCACAGGAGCAAGCTTGGAACAGTGGACGTAAAAAAGAAAACAAAAGTGTGGTGTGCAATATAGTGAAATGAAAAGTGTAAAGTTATACAGCAATGAATGCAGAATGGCACCTGCTATAGGAGGACTACAAAACCCAGCAATACATTATACAGCACAATGCAGAATACCACCAGCTATAGAGGCATACAACAAATCAAGGCCCAATCGACTTGTTCCTCATGACAATCTACTTGTAGTGATACAAATGCAAATGGGACGGCAATGGCAGAAAAAAAAAAAAACCATGAACCTGCAAGAGATGAGGATTTTGTAACTTTTTCTGAGAGGTCACTCCACGGCCACAATGGCCTAGGAAGAGGCTGATCAAGTATGATCTTGTTCACATGAAGAGTCTACTAGACCCCTGCAGTCTCCCTAAGGCCTGGTTCACACCTGGGCGTTTTACAGCGCGTTCCTACGCTCTGTAAAACGCTCAACATGTGAAAACCAATAATTGCCTATGGGCATGGTTCCCACCTGTGCGTTTTACAGCGCGTACGAACGCGCTGTAAAACGCCCAAAGAAGTACAGGAGCTTCTTTGAGGCATATTTGCCGCGGGTATCCATTAGGATACAGCCGGATAACCCTAGTTTTTCGCACGTTTATTTTACCGCAAATCGCGGTAAAAACGCACATATTCCGTACGCCCAGGTGTGAACCTAGCCTAAAGATGACCCCGATCAGCAATATAGACATAGGGGGCTATCAGCTAACAAAAGCAGGTTGAAGCAGCTTAGAACATAAGGAACTGCCAGTCAGAATCACCTGTCATGGAACTCTGAATGATATGAAGAAGTATTGCAAATGGATATCAAATGGATATCAAATTCAATCTGTATGCACTATAGAGAAAGCTTCATCTGTCCATTAAAACTAGTCTTTGAGCCCAGAGGTGTTCTGTTCCCACAGACAATCCCTTCTCTGTCTCTTGGGCATCTCTACTGGTTGGATAGGGGCACCAACAATAAACAAACAAGGGTATCTCTGAGTGACCACACACTTATTTCCTCCAGCTTGATACACCCAGGACTTCCCTTCCCTCATTCTTCTATGATCCTGCTTTGAACCCCCGGCTGCCTCAAGAGTCTCAGCCACCACTCACACTGGGATGAATTTTTGCAGAATAGGGCAAGTCGACCCAGACTTACAGTCATAACCATATAAGCCTCCTTGCGGAACCACAAACAATTTACACATTTCAGCCGTGTACTTAGATGTTTGCTTGGTGTTCCGATTCAATTTACACAGTTAGAATGTATAAAGTGTATGGACTGCAACGCCTCCTGCACTACAAGCAACTGGCTTTCCTCAATGCAGGGCCGGTAAAAGAAAGAAATAGGGCCCATGTTGTCTCCTATAACCATAAAATACCACAATCCTAATTACATGAAAAAAGAAATGAACACAACTTCCACAGAACAAGTGTAAATAGCCATTAAGGAACAATATTTCAAAAGAAGTGTATGTAGCTCTACAGAACCCATTACAACTTCCCAAATAATATAAGATTCCATTATCAATAAACAGTAATAACTGAACGTACCTGCATTAGTCAGTAAAATAGGGAAAACAACCCTTCAAAACCTGGGGCTGTCCCTTACAAATCAGGAAGCACTTACAACATTTCCCACATATTTAAAGTGCTGAATTTCTAGATCTATACTGGAAACAAATTTTGCATCTATTTATAGTCAATACAATTTTCTGGGGATTTCAGGTGAACAAAATGTTAAAGAGACAATAAACTCAAAAGTTACAGCTTAAAAATGCTTTCATGTACCCTATTAACATAAATGTATCTTATTTGTGTATCACTCAGCTGTAGATCCTCAAATCATCTCTGAATTGGTGCCGACACTGTCCTACCTTCTGGAGGGGGGCTACTTTTATTCCCCATGGTTCCTGCGTGTGTTGTAAAGTAGCCACCGCTCTAACTAAAATCTCAATGCAAATTAGTAAACTAAACGTGAGATTGTAGTCCATCACAGGAGCGAGCTTGGAGCGGTGATTACAAGTGACGAGGGAGCATGGAGCCGTGTAATGACTCGCTGCCCGGGCTTCCTGATACCGGAAGTATTGGGCAAGCCATCAGAGCATTTGGGCGAGTACTCGGCATCGGCACCGATACTAGTATCGCTGCATCCCTAATTTAAAGTTCAGTAGACAGAACAGGAAGTGAGGAAAATCCCCTCTTAGACAGTTGTAGAGATGTGTGATGCCTTGGTGTAACTGCACAAAACTGTCACTAACACACCCCCTCCCAGCCCACTTATTTGTGGGAGAGGCATTCCCCACCCCTAGTGACATAGAGCTATAGAGTGGTGAAAGCAACTGATTGTGCCAGAAGGGGGGTGTATCAGTCACAGTTTTGCACAGGCTTTCACTACTCAAGTGAACTTCCCACCAAGCCCCCACACATCAAGGGTACCCATTGGAAGATCTCCATTTGTGTCCCCTCTGGAAGATTTCCACTCACCTCCTGTTGCAGAATCCATCCACTTCTGTCCCGTCAACAAATAAAATCCTGACACTGAGGGTCTATTCACACTATAGTGCATGTGATAACACAGTGTGGCTCATTGTGATGTGCTACCTTCGCCGCATGCCCTGGTGTGCGGTTCTATACGCCCTCAGTTGCATCGTGATTTTTCTATTTAGCTGTTTTTATGTTTCTATAGCAAGTTTCTTATTCTCTGTGTGTTGGTGTGTGTTTGCGTGTATTGCTCTTAAAAAATTGAGTATGCTCTACTTTTTTTTAGCACGGATAAACGCAGTGCAATGCGCTGGTGTGAACTGGCCTCTGATTTTCATGTATTTTATATTGTTGTGCATTGGGAATGCACTAAAAAACACATCCTAATGCATCTGATTTGAATGGACCCTAACAGAAGTTCTAACTTTCTTACATTAACCAAACCAAACGAAACCAAAAAGACTATTAGCACTACAAACAACTGATTACGGTAAAACCTATCCAATTGCCTCTTGTTTTAAATGAACCCATAGAAATATTTCTAGGGCTGCAACAACTAATTGATTAAATGGATAATAATCGATTATGAGAATAATTGGCAACTATTCTCATTATCAAATATTTCAGATCACTATTTCCATCTTAAACAACCCTTTGAAATGTGCGTGGGCATCATTTTTTTTTAAACTATTACTTTTCGACTCATTCACACTATAGCGGTGACTAAAGTTTTCCAACAACTGAAGAAAGCCAGTCACCGCTAGGGGACACAGAAAACTATTATTTTCTATGCAGCCCGTTCACACTACATCGCAGGCCGCAGAATAACTTTTGGGGGTTGAAGAAGAACTCTGGGCAGAAAAAAAATTAACCCATGCAGTGGGGTTACCCCCACATTGCAAGGGTTAACGGCTCATTTTTCTCTAGGGGACCAAACAAAGAAGATATATTCACTCGTATATTGATCCTGCAGCAGAGACTGCTCCCCCTTTCTTCCTATCCGCTCCAGCTGTGGTATGTCCCTCAGTGTCCTAACATGTCATTAGACCACTGGGGTCCAGGGGAGACCAAGGTTCTGGTGAATAAATCTTTGTACATTTAGACTCTAGACAAAAACGAGTGCTGGTGGAGGGGA